TATAACGGAAGAACGAGGTCGATTCACGGTACCAAATCTTTTGGACATTATCAGCATTAGGTCAACTAATGATTGCGTAATTTTGATCGAGTTCGTGCTGTTGGTACCAGAGGAAATCGCCTTTAATGGTTGAGTCCATAAAAGCAATGAGAATTTTCGAATTGGCGCGATTTTAGGCCACTTGCGTTTAGTAATTTAGGTCATTAATAAGCGCATGCGATAGTCGGTACTACTGGGATATTACCCCGAAAAACATGATCGCGATTGACCTTATGGTTCAAAAGTTATTGGGTGTCAAAAATAGACACGGACTTAGTCTAATTTGCAGAAAAAGAGGTTTTAGATCACAACCAGATTTATTGTGTTATATGTGGTGAGTGTAGTTGCTGAATTGAGAGAAGCAACCATCAGTAGTTGATGGGGAGGTAAGTGATTGTCTACGGTTATGGATAAGTCAATGCATCAAGCAGTGGTATGGTCCAGACTGTAGCTGTTCACGCATCTATTCCTGTTATTCTGTTGATGTTTGGTGGTTGAAGAGACGGGCCTGAATGGGTTTGGATCGTCAATCATCTTATCACCACACACTATTATACAAAGGTAGAGTACCTGCAAGACCTAAGGTCTTCCTTGGTACGACTGACAATATCTATGAGAGTTGGGCTTTAATGCTATCAGACTTCATATCTTGCATATATGTTCAAACTAGTCACTCAACAGAGTGAGCAGTATTAGTATTGAGCTCTGCTTGTGCAAAGCAGACCGCAGATTGATCCAAGAAATTGTTATCAAGCGGTTATAATACTATGCTGTTTAGTTGACTTGCAAACGTACCCAGCAATGGTTACTCCTGCTAGATGTGCTTGCACATTTTAGTGGAAGAAGATGGATTCTAAAGAGTTTTCTGCAGAATTATCTTAATGCACGACATAAATCTCGATACCTCGTTAAAGTTAGCATCCACTTGCTGGTTGTTAGCTGAGGATATCGTATTTATAGCTGCAAAAACAACTTGTTTAGCAATTTACTTTGCTAAAACATCAAGTTACCTGGTTGATCCTGCCAGTAGTCATATGCTTGTCTCAAAGATTAAGCCATGCATGTCTAAGTACATACTGTTTATAAAGTGAAACCGCGAATGGCTCATTAAATCAGTTACGGTTCCTCGGATATTCTTTTTTACATGGATAACTGTGGTAATTCTAGAGCTAATACATGAACAAGTGTTCCAACCTCAGCTTGCTGACGGAAGGATCGCATTTATTAGTACAAGACCAATGATTCTTATTCACCTAGAACCCTGTTCAGTGATTTCGGTCGCTGTCTAAGGACTAGCAGTGGGGATCTTAGCAACTTCGGTTGCATTTCTTGTGATGACTCTGAATAACTGAGCAAATCGTATGGCCTCTGAGCCGACGATGTATCCCTCAAGCAACTGCCTTATCAACTGTCGATGGTAGGTTATGCGCCTACCATGGTTGTGACGGGTGACGGAGAATTAGGGTTCGATTCCGGAGAGGGAGCCTGAGAAACGGCTACCACATCCAAGGAAGGCAGCAGGCGCGCAAATTACCCAATCCTGACACGGGGAGGTCGTGACAATAAATAACAATACCGGGCTCATCGAGTTTGGTAATTGGAATGAGTACAATTTAAATCCTTTAACGAGGATCTATTGGAGGGCAAGTCTGGTGCCAGCAGCCGCGGTAATTCCAGCTCCAATAGCGTATATTAAAGTTGCTGCGGTTAAAAAGCTCGTAGTTGGATTTCAGTCGAACCTATGGGGTCCACTGATTAAAGGGTTAGATGGTGATGTTAGGTTTCTTGCTTGTGTCTACGGATGCTTGCTTGAACCTTCATTCCTCTTTCCTGGTGGTTACATTCATAGTGTTTAGACAGAAAATTGCTCGATATTTGCTATCAATGCTCTTTACCGAGTGTTGATTCAAGCGATCGAGACTTTTACCTTGAAAAAATCAGAGTGCTCAAAGCAGGCGTCCAAAACCTCGAAAGAGGTGCCTAAAAACGGTATGGTCAACCATCTATATGATGCGTACCACTACCTTAACTTGAATGATCTTGCATGGAATAATGGAATAGGACCTTGGTTCTATTTTGTTGGTCTTAAGAATCCAAGGTAATGATTAAGAGGGACAGACGGGGGCATTTGTATTGCGGCGCTAGAGGTGAAATTCTTGGACCGTCGCAAGACAAACTACAGCGAAAGCATTTGCCAAGAATGTTTTCATTAATCAAGAACGAAAGTTAGAGGTTCGAAGGCGATCAGATACCGCCCTAGTTCTAACCATAAACGATGCCAACCAGCGATCATTCTGAGTAACTAATTTCATGACTCGAATGGAAGCTTCCGGGAAACCAAAGTTTTTGGGTTCCGGGGGAAGTATGGTTGCAAAGCTGAAACTTAAAGGAATTGACGGAAGGGCACCACCAGGAGTGGAGCTTGCGGCTTAATTTGACTCAACACGGGAAAACTCACCCGGCCCGGACACTGAGAGGATTGACAGATTGAGAGCTCTTTCTTGATTCAGTGGGTGGTGGTGCATGGCCGTTCTTAGTTGGTGGAGTGATTTGTCTGGTTAATTCCGATAACGAACGAGACTCTAGCCTACTAAATAGACTTGCAGTTTACACTGCAGTACTCCCCCTTAGTCAACCTGTGGGTGGTAGTATCTCTTGATGGTTTCGGCTGTTGAGGGCTCTGCTGCTATTAGCCTACAGAATTGGCTAGGGTAAGGATGCTGTAGCACTGTAAGGACTTCTTAGAGGGACAAGCGGCGCTCGCAGCCGCACGAAACAGAGCAATAACAGGTCTGTGATGCCCTTAGATGTCCGGGGCCGCACGCGTGCTACACTGAAGTGGTCATCGTGCATACTGTTTCCTGCTCCGAAAGGAGTGGGTAACCGCTTGAACCCATTTCGTGATGGGGATTGGGCATTGTAATTATTGCCCATGAACGAGGAATTCCCAGTAAGCGTGAGTCATTAGCTTGCGTTGATTACGTCCCTGCCCTTTGTACACACCGCCCGTCGCTACTACCGATTGAATGATTTAGTGAGGACTTCGGACTGGTCAATCCAGACCATTGGGAAACTAGTGGTCGGATTGTGCTGGAAAGATGTTCAAACTTGATCATTTAGAGGAAGTAAAAGTCGTAACAAGGTTTCCGTAGGTGAACCTGCGGAAGGATCATTAACGTATTACCCTCTTATTATAAGAGAAATACAACCTTCAAACAATCAAACACTCTGCATAGTGATATTGTAGATGCTAATATGGTGAATGCAATTGAATTGTATTTGCATTAGAGTCGCAATTGTGAATGTTTAATGCAAACATTTAGCCATTGCAACATGATTCTAACTTGCATTACATTCGTTCATTCATACATCCATCTTTCATTATCCAATGCAACAAAGAGTGAGGGTTATCTAACGATAGCCATAATTTCTTTTTGCAAAACAATTGTAGTTTATAATGAAAAGCCTGTCTTGCTACATACTTGGTACCTGATCAAGTCTTCAGCTTATGCTGACGGCAAGGTTTAAAGAAGGAAGTTTTACACTTCTTCGCCTAACTAAGTAAAGACAACTATGGTTTTTATAAACTGCATACAATTGTTTTCAAACCCTCTCAATGCAGATTTAGGATACTTATTAAAAGTCCCACGGTGGCAAAGATACATCTTCAAGCGGTGGATCACTCGAATTACCAATCGATGAAGAACGTAGCTAGCTACGATAATCGGTGCGAATTGCAGGACACGCCGAGCACTTGAGCTTCCAACGCACATTGCGGCTTTCGGGTCTTTTCCGAGGTCACATCTGTCTGAGAGTTGAGATGTAAAATAATCAACAAAACACTTGCATACTACCATATATGCATTGTTTTGAGAGGATTGTATATTTATATGCATGAATCTTGATGTTTTATTCCTTTTCTTAATTGCAATTCGTTGCAATTTAGTAAGGAGAATCTCAAATCTACTTGTTTCACATGATAAATTTTGTGTACAATGCATATTTCATCTCTGCAAGCAGTATATATGAATAGATACTAGCATGAGATTCTAAGGTTAGTCGCCTATCTGACGACGCTAAAGTCGTATTGCAGATAACTATGGTGATCAACTAACCTGTTAACTGATGAATCTTCTTGCACTTGTATAAATCGTACAAATAGTAGCTATTTCATTCTGTTAAAGCAGACCTAAGAAGTAATGCAAAGGCAAAATTTGTGCAAACATTAAAGTAGATTTACGTTGCTTGCTTGCAAACAACACAAATAAACATTAATCAACTTAATCAATATTTTTGATCTCAGATCAGGTGAGGTTACCCGCCGAATTTAAGCATATAATTCAGCGGAGGAAAAGAAATCAAATGAGATTCCCTGAGTAACGGCGAGTGAAAAGGGATGAGTCCGGCGCAAAGGTTTTCCATTGAAAGGTGGAAAGCGGTGCTGCGTAATGGCTAGAGTCACGATTATTTCAACTAAATCTGCAAGTCCCTCTGACAAGGGCCCTCTTCCCAGAGACGGTTCTAGGCCGGTGGCAGATCTTGGTTAATGGAATATCGATTACTGGCTTTAGTCGCGGATAGAGTCAGATTGCTTGAGAGTGCAATCCAAATTAGGAGGTAAACTCCTCCTAAGACTAAATACGATGGTAATATCGATAGCAAACAAGTACCGTGAGGGAAAGTTGCAAAGTACTTTGAAGAGAGAGTTCAAAAGGACGTGAAACCGCTTGTAGAGAAACGGATAGAACCACGAAGTGTAGCTGAGAGGAGAACTCAGCTCCTCTTGTGTATTGTTGCCTTTTTCTATTCAGTGCTAAGAATGCTTTACAGCGTTCCAAGATCAGTAGGTTAAGGGGTAACTTTTAGCCTGCCCTTGGATCTTGGTATTGATAGGAGGAGTGCAATATGTGCATGAGGAGTGCATTTTCTCAACTCTCGTGCTCAAACCACGACCAATGTGA